CCCTTCCATACGTCCTCTACAACCTTGACCCATTCCGTGGGTTGTCTACCCCTCTTTTTGTTTGCCCACTTCGCCTCCCATACAATCCTCGGCAACCTCTCCTCTCCCATCCCGCACATGCGATACTGCCATGTCAGTTTCCTCGTGTCTCTTCCCGACCGTAAGGATTGGATCCCCAATTCTGCCCTGACGGCCTTGTGCGCTTGGAGCATCCTAGGAAATTTTTCCTCACTTTCATCTGCACCGCCTCTAATTCTTTCCCTACGTTCTTATTTCCTTCCCATACTGCTCCAGCGTAATCTAGCGGCGGTACGATTACGCTCTTCAAAACCGTCAATTTGATGCGTGTATCGAGATGCCGGTTTGCGAGTATTGGGTGCAACTTCCCTGCTCGTGCTTTGCCCTTTTCCGCCACCTTGGACATGTCTGCATTCCACGAGCAGTCTTTTGCCATCTCTACTCCCACGGCCCGGTGGTCTAGTGGTATCCTCGTAATCCGCTGGTCGCAGAGGTCGTGAGTTCGAATCCCGATGGGGTGAAACATTTACGAAATTTGCGGGTATAGCTTAAAAGCTCTCGTGAGTACCAAACTTCGACGTTAGCACCGTTGNCACCTTGGACATGTCTGCATTCCACGAGCAGTCTTTTGCCATCTCTACTCCCACGGCCCGGTGGTCTAGTGGTATCCTCGTAATCCGCTGGTCGCAGAGGTCGTGAGTTCGAATCCCGATGGGGTGAAACATTTACGAAATTTGCGGGTATAGCTTAAAAGCTCTCGTGAGTACCAAACTTCGACGTTAGCACCGTTGACGAGGGAAAGGGACGGCTGGACCCTTCTCGCGATAAAAATAAAATTCAGCAAGCACCGCAGGATGAAGGTGGGGCATGAAAAGAAATATATAGAAGAAAAAAGCCCTGGTGTTTACCCCCTCCTGTGTGACCCTGGATGGTTGTAGTTGAACGAAAAATACACTGAAAAGTGTAGTATTCTACATACATACGCTGAAGAGTGTAGTACACGTCTCACCACGAAAAATGGGGGGACTGTCGCCATAATTAATAGGACGAAAACACCCACACACAACACTCCCAGGTATGTATACTGGTCCACTACTGCAATTTCCTCGATCCCCCACTTCCATCTATGCTTTCCTGGTTCCTCCTTGTTCTCGTTGCATACCATGACGGCACTCTTTTCAACGTTGGCAGACAATCTCCACTTGTCAGTAAACTTCTTCGCCGCGTCAATTTGCAGTTGCAGTCCCTCAGGGGT